GCAGGAGAGACTAATAGAAAAAAAGAGGTTAAGATGGGTGGGAATTCCTAAAGGAGAAGATAAAAGCCCAAGTACAAATACTTTCAGTGAGGAAAATAGAGATTAGCAGAAAAAGTGCAGCTATATCAAACATTTAATGAATATCTGGAAACAAAAAGATGTAGAGGATGTAGAAGGGAGGCAAGTCATCAAGAAAGATTATATACAGCAGCAAGGGACTGAATAACTTCCATAAGCTCAACTATTTTGTATATAGGAGTCAGTCCTCTCCCAGGCTATGGAATGCTATTCCTAGAATGTTTTGTTTCCACACTTTCAAATTTAGTGAGGGGGGGTGGGGAATAGCAGAAATGCATTTCTTTTACCAAACTTTTAATTATGTTTGTTTGAATTGTCTTGATTTTAATTTTGAATGTTGCTTTTTTGTAAACCATTTGGGTGTTTTTGAAAAGCCAAAAGTGGATTCTGCATAACAACATAAAATTAGTAATAGTTCCACTTTATTTTGAATTTATCAGAAACAGTGTAAGAAAGATTCAGATAAACTGGAACAAGATCAGAAAAGGCAATGTGAATAATTAGGAAATTCTAACAGAACATCTAACCTTTACAAGAGAGAAGACTGATGTGAACTGTATGATAATATTCTTCAAATACTTGAAAGATATCACACAGAAGGTCAAGACCTGTTTTCCACCATTCCAGAGCATGAAATAATAATTCCAGTTATATGAAGGCAGATGCCAGTTGAGTATTAGGAAAAAATGAATACTATAATATGCAAACTTTCAGATTCTCCAAAAATCTTTCTTGTTCAATAAAATATGTAATAAACAATGTGATAAATGTAATAAAACAATGTAACAAAACAGAACTGTGGAATGGGAATGGAAGGGAGATATATGCCTCTGTAGCAATGGGAATCTCGTTATTATCTGATTTAACTATTGAAAGGCCACTCCCTACATTCCTGCATCCCTAATTTGCTGCCCAATCAAATGCCAAATCAAGAGGCCCAATCTTGAACTGCTTTGCGTGGCTGATATTTTTAAATACAACACAAATGAATGCATTATTATATTTAATATACCATCTAACTGGTTTTCTCTTTGAACTCAGCAATACCTAACTACTGAAGAAACAATATACACTAGTTTGCAATGCCTTAAGCATTCTGATCTTGTAATCCATAAACACTCTTTCCAAATACTTCAATATCCTGCTGGCCAATTCAGTATCTTGCATATTCTAATCAAATGAATTCAAGATAGGTTGCTAGCCACTGAACAGTAGAAATCCACTACAGGATGATAAATGTACTTAGGCCTCAGTATAAAGACCCATATGTAAGGATTATATAAATATAACATATCTATAGTTTATAAATGTAAAGTACAACTGTTGGCTTACATCCAACTTTTCTCACCCTTCCAAATTTTTGCATTCTGCCTGAAGAGTTTTAATGCATAACAGTGGGCCTTGATTTTGTGTCATTTCAATTAAGCTTCATGTTCCCATTCTTGTTTTGTTTGGATTTTTATTGTGAAATTGCAATGATTCTGAATGGAATCTGCATGAAAGCTTGTCTAGATTGCAAAAAAATTAATCAACAGAGGCAAATCAAGTCATGCAAGTTATCAAGGGAAGGTTGTTGGTGAACTGGTCAGATATTATATTCTACAGTCTCTTGTTTGAATGAATGGAATAACATATTTTTAGGTACTGGCTTTCTTGTACATCAAAGTTAATTTGCTTTCTGTTTGATCCTGTGGCAGAGTGTTTGTTCGTTCACATTTATTTTATGGAAGTATCCATATTGTCATTTTGGCACTAAATGCATTTTGGCACCACATACATTTTGGCAGTTTTTTGGCACTACATATTGCTTTCCTTGTAAATTTTATAACCTTTGAGGGTTGCGATAAACAAAGCCTTAAAATGTGCACTGCATTTTTATTTCTGAAATTTCACATAAATAAAAAAGGTATTCATATAATTGTCATAGGCATTGGCCTGATAGGATCTACACTAATATAAACACTGATGGGCTACAGAGTTCTGTCTATACTACCAGTCTATTTTATGAATAATTAAGTACAGTTAAGACACAAAGATTTTTTGTTCTGGAGACTGCACTTAATTTTTCCCTATTATTTTGGACTCCAATAGTTTCACTAGTAAGGGATTGATCATCTTTCTCTACTAATACTTTAGAAGTTCATATGGTGTTTTATTTCTTGGGGCTTTTTAGAAAACCACAGAGCCAAATGGGATCACTGAAGAGTAGAACCTAAATAGGGGCAACTCCAAATCCAAGGCCTAGTTATACCCCCATTCCAGCTGCCCAATAATGCCTCAGTGAAACTGCCTACCAGTTCTTCAAGCTCCCTCTGAAACTGATCAAGGTCCATTAGTCGCCTAGGGATAGACTGATCAAACTGGTCTAACTTCCCCCTGGTAAGTACAGGACAGTACAGTATTAGCAAATCAAACAGCAACCAGACTATAATGACTGCAACACCTCTGTCCTGGATTCATCAGTGGTAATTGACAATAACAAAGACTGATGATAAGGTTCACCATCTTATATCACAACTGCTCATATCACAACTGCCTTGACAAAAAAAAGGAAAAAAACCCAAATTTTATATGCAACCTCCTATGGGCATCAGGCACTCAGCAATTTGAGTCACAGCCATAGTTGCCATGGTGGTCATGAATTCCTGAGTGCCTCCCCTCTCCCCCGGTCCCTATATCATACAAGAGCATTTAAATAGCTCAGGAAAGGATGTTGCTATTCTCAGTAGGGAAGATAATACCATTAATAAAACATTTTGAAACCAGTTTCAACCACAGGCTCTCCAAGTTTTCTGCAGTACAAAACTTCTGAAACTGGTTAGGGGCCTTCTCAGATGACAAATGTCACCTCATTCCAGAGTTTGGCTACTCCCAAACTCAAAACCCAAGTGAGTATACAGTATCTTGTACATGCATAGAACAATAAAAATTGCTCTGCGCATGCGCATAACCAAAAGACAAGATGGTGGCACCTACGGCGCTGCCTGGAGAACTGGTTTGGGGGCGTTGCAGGCCTACGTCGCTGCTGGTTCCAGTGACCAAGGCCACCAAATCACTACCAGTTCGGCTGAACTGATCTGAACCGGTAGGAATCCACCATTGATCTAGTGATAGCAATAGCACTTAGACTTACATACTGCTTCATGGTGCTTTACAGCCTTCTCTAAGCTGTTTACAGAGTCAACATATTGCCCCAACAATCTGGGTCCTCATTTTACCAACCGCAGAAGGATGGAAGTCTGAGTCAACTTTGAACCTGGTAAGATTCGAACTGCCAAATTGCAGGCAGTCAGCATCAGTACCCTGCGGTATTGCATCCTAACCACTGTGCCACAATAGCTCTAATGGAGCTTTAAAAGTTAATACTAGGGTCAGAAACCTGGGTAAGTCACAGACATCAACTGTTTTCCCATGGAGGTCCATCCACAAATCCTTATGAAGTTGCTATCTTTCACTATCCTGATGTTGGTGCCTGCCTCCTGCCCATCTAAATCTCTCCTAAACTCTGCTCTCCTCCTCCCAGATCATGAGACACACACACACACAACTTCACATTCCACTAAACATCCAAATTGTGCACCCTATCTCCATTAAACACAGCACTCCCAAAGCTGTTCCTGCTCAGGTATCACTAGGGAGATTCAGCTATTGTCATTTCCTTAATCACATAATCTACTTCAACCCTGCTTGCTCCAAACTATCAGAGCTACCTACAATAATTACAGTATTGTTTCTATCTTCAATTCTCCAGTCCATTCCAGGGTGTGTTCCAGATTTAATAACTAAGTAGGTGATTCAAGAGCCAATCCTAGCTGTTAGTATATTAACATAGATCCTCCAGTATGATTTTCAGAAAGACTTGAGCAGATGATCTACATTTGGAAGCCACAATCCTAGGTTATGGTAGAGACCAATAACTCATTATTTGGCATGACCCCACTCCTACTACCCAGCCTTCTCACTACCATTCCTCAGATCATTGTTCTCAGGTCTGCTGAAGGCTATATTTCAGGAGCCCAAATTAAGACTGCTGCAATTCCAAGGAGGAAAACCTCCAACCAGGTCTTCTCTCCTGTGATGCCAACAAGTATTCATACATTCTGGGCCAAAACTCTGCTCAAATCTATGGAGGGAATTGCCTCAGTGCAACCAGCAGGCTGACATGTAACTCCTAGTACTTAAGCAGAATATTGATCTGATAGTCTTTCTGATCCAACCTCTGGACTGGTCTGAAATAATTCAATGCTTTGTTATAGCCTGCTTCCAGGACAATGCCATTATGATTATTTCAATTGACTCCGTTACCTCCACCACTAAATACAATTAATAAGATTCAGGTTCCAAGGAAGCATTACCTTGAAATAAGCGTGTATGCGTGCTCATATGCGTGCATTTTTCACTTCCTCTCTCCTCTGCTCTTCAATCAAAAAGCATTCAAGAGCAGCTTTCATGTTAATATTATGTCTGCTAGAGCCAAAGCTATGTCAGCAGGAAGATTCCAGAGGTTTCCATTGCTTTCTTTAAATAGATTAGTTTTCAGCATTCAACAACTATAGAGCAAGACCTACTTGTTCTAAAATAAAATAAAAAAGTTTCTGCAGCTATAGTAATATTGTCAGTGTAATATAACAGATACCAGAGTTTTAGATTAAATTAATTCAATTGTTATGAGAGAGCTTCATTGTTTGGGGAATTTTTCTGTTTTTCAAAGTGTCCCTGCCTTTTACTATTAGGTATTAATAAATTGTCATTCTTATAATTGTTACTGTGTTGATTCTTTAATGTGATTTTATGCATTTGAATTTCATTAATTTCCTTGTTGAACAATTATGAGTTTCTTTACATGCCTGTTTCATTCACTCATTGTTTAAATATTTTAAAAAGTGTTAATGAAGAATTAACATTAAAATTCAGCAATGACATACTTTCAGACATTACTTTATTTTGAAATTTAAATACAAACTTTTGGGGCTGCTGTTAATTTTCTCACCAATTTAATTTCCTACAGAAATGGAAAGTAAGAAAATATTCACAAAATGCTAGGAAGAAAGGTTAGAAAGCGGCACATCAAAAGAAAGAGGGGAAAATACATTTAATTGGAAATAAACAAGATGCCCAGTAAAGATAAGTCCCCAATGCCTTGTATCCTTTATGTCCCATGCCAAGAAAGTAATGCTTGATCTAGTAAAGGATAATTCCACTGAATCTAGTGGAATTACTATCTAGTTGACTTTTCTCTCTCTATCTCAGGTCTTTCTAAAGAACTATTGTAAAGAAAAGAAAATAGATAGATATCTCTTCTGTTGGTTAGATCAGTCTGTTCAGACCAAAGAGTACACTATTCCAAATAATGTTTCCTTCTTTGTTTTTATAATGTATAATAGCCATTATCAGAGAGGCCTTAAAATAAGGCCAACCCCCGGTACATGGGCCGGCACCGGTCCATGGCATGCCAGAAGCCAGTCCACGCAAACAAGCGAAGCCTGATCTGCGGGATACAGGTAGCACACGGAACCATACCCCGTGAAAAACCTCTCTCCATGGAACAGATCCCTGATGCCCAAAAGATTGGGCGCCGCTGCCTTAGAAAATGGCATTTTCAACTTTTAAAAAATACAATTATTACTGATATTCCAATCTTTAGTCTCCAACATGATGTCAAGCTATTATTTCTAGGAGAGATATTCCAATTCATTGAAAGGCACTAGATTGCAGAAGGCTACCCTATTATCTTCCCTTTTCTATAGAACACAGTTCCATGTTAGAAATTACTTGAGAAGCTTCCCCATTTTGTTAAAAGCTACTGTTCCAAAATAAATTTAGCAATTTTTTTTAGAGATGCACAGATACAAATATAAACAGTTAGAATTTTATAATTCTAGCAAGCAGACTAAGGGCACATTTCAGAATTGCCAAAATGTTGCTTTATTCACTCGCTTAGGTAGAGTGGAAGTCAAACTTCATCTTCTTTTGGTACTTCCAAAACCTAAGAAAAAGAGATGGAGAACAAGAAAAAAGCTATTATTAATAAATAGTAAATTCTAAAATAATTTGAATAATGAAATAACGGAGATAAATGCATTCATCTCTGTGAGCTAGTTTACAAAAAATATTTCACCAAGGACGGGGTAGAGCAAATCAGGCGGGGACTTCATTTTCTGTATGGTAAGGTCTGATAGCCTGCGTAGACACTAAGGTTTGTAATATAACTTTGCAAGATGGCACAAGTGCTCAATCCTTCGATTAAAAATGACTGAAATATGATATTGCTAAATCTTGCAAGATTTCAGCACTCTAGCCCCCATCTTTGAAGTTCTCAAGTACAAATATTTGAGAATTTCATCTGGGGGAAGGAAATTATTCTTGCTTAAAGCATTTAAGATATGGGTGTGTTGCTGATTTCTCTTTTACACTATGTGACCAGAAGATTCTACTGCTGTTTGAGAACATAATATAGTCTATCAAATCACCCAGATCTTAATCCTATTTAGCATTATTGGAAATACATGTTTTGTTTAAATGGCTCAATGATTAAAATAACATGTCTTGCACTGTAATTTATATGAGTGCAATCCTACATATGTCTACTCAAAACGTAGAGTCCATCTATTTGTAGGTGATGGAGCATATGACTGCAGCCTCAGGGACAGAAATATACCAGTTCTGCCAAAAATATAATCAACACCTGCACTAGTTTGTCAGGTAATACCCCCCTCCCCATTTTCCTACTAGCTAAATTCTTGGATTTGAATATAATTCCATGCAGTAGAATTCCATTAGGAAACCAGTTATCTGCTACTAGAGCTGATCCACAACCATTCATTTAGTGACTGTATGAAGTAATGATGACACCTAAAAAAACTATTTATGACTGTTTTTCACACTTAAGACGATTGAAACATTCCCATGGCCATGTGATCAAAATTTGGGTGCTTGGTAGCTGCCATGTATTTATGATAGTTGCACTGTCCCAGGCTCATGCAACCTTCCCAGGTGGTTTCTGACAAGCAAAGTCAATGGGGGAGGCCAGATTCTCATGATTCACTTAGCAGTTGCAGTTATTTGCTTAACAACTGTGGCAAAAAGGTTGTAAAATATGGCACAACTCATTTAACAACTCTCTTGCTTAGCAATGGGAATGTTGAGCTTAACTGTGGTTGCAATTGAGGACTTTCTTGAATGGAGAGATGTGCTCAAATCTGAAATCTGGATGAGGCAGAATATGAAATCCCTCTCCTCCAGTAAGTCTTATTTATTGCAGAATAAACAAATGCAGACCTAAGCATTTGTTTATTATTTACCAAATTTGTAAGCTGACCCAATCTGCATGATTCTGGGTGGTTTAAAAGATACAACAGTAGAAACTATAAAAATGTAGAATATATAGTACATTTTAAAAAAAGTCCCGAGAAAATAATTAATCAATTAACAGCTGAAAGATTCCACAAGGGCTCTAACAAATATTCTAACTTAGGACCTGGAGACAGAACCAGAATTTTATGAATCATTAAAATATTGCCAGGTGGGGGCTGTAAAAAACCTGCAACACAAGAGTAATAAAAGAAAATATTCTTATTTCAATAAAAGCAAAAAAATATAGTGGATAGCAATTACACAAGGGTGAAATCTGCATTCCAAAACTAGCATTCAATAAATAGTGTAACCAAACAAGAAAAATAGTGGATTGAAACAAATACAAAACTTGAGAAATTGAGCAAACTGCATTAAACAAAAATAAAAACCAACCTCCGATTAAATCTTGCCTGGCAACTTTTATATTACCAGAATTTTTTAAGTTTACACTTGAATCCTGAAACTAGTTGCATAAAATCCCTTTTCTTCAGATAACTGCTCCCCTGAGAACAAAATAAATTCCTCAGTTCCTCTGCCTTGAATCTCATCCTCTTCATTCTTATTGGAAGAGACAGTGATAGCAATCTAATTATCCAGAGTGACTCTGGGCAGTTTACAATGGTACAAAAGCATAAATATAAAAGCATTACAAACAATTAAATAAAAGATTAAAAACCAAATTTGCTATCATTAAGCCAAATCCAACTCTTTTCAATAGGATTTTTTAAATTGGAAAGTTACTGATATCAGGCACACTTAACCCAAAAATTAAGGACAACATGGCTTATAACTTACCAGAGGTAGGTTTTGTTTCTGAACTGTAAGATGTTGAACAGCTATTTGAATTGCCAAATGAACCAGTAAATGGAGGTTGAACAGATGGACCAGCCCACGTGCTATAATAAGGAGAATACCTGTGATCTGAAGGTGACCTAGAAGAAAATGATTCTGTTAATTATTTAGAGTTTTTGCATGTGTACAAAATTAAATTTTTAATAGATGAATAATCTAGAAAAGAAGTAGAAGGCCATTTAAGGCAAAGAATCAGCAAGTAATCATAGAAAAAATATGTAAATAATTGGAATATATTCAATTATTCCAACAAACTGAGGATATCTGTTCAGTAATTTTTTAGTTCTATTTCTATTTAAAAAGGAATATTTGCAAGAAACACATTGATTTACCATTAAGGTATGTATTGCTATTAGGAAAAACTTAACAAGATTTCAAATTTTAAAAAGTGTGGTTGGAACGTCATACAAATTCAGTACAAAAGTCATACAAGCTGTATGTACAATATATGCAGAAAGCTAAAAAAAACTTTTAAAAGTCCATTAAAAATATAAGTCAGAATCCAGTGGTTTTGGAAGAATATACAGGAGAATTATCAGTGAAAAACTGGGAGGGGGATTAGAGACGGACAACTTTGAACGTTATAAAAGCAAAATTCAATGTGGAAAAGAAATAGTTAATACGAAAGACATGATCATATTCGTACACAGAAATTTTGGAGACAACATAAATAAAACATAGAGAAGTGAGAATCTATTTAATAACATAAAAATAACCAAATTAAGCCTTTAATTCTTATATTTATCAAAATATAACCATTATTATTAAAAGAAAGACAAACAAACAAACAAACAAGGATTTAGGAAAACCTGTGATTTCAAAAACAGCTAATACTGAAGTAGTGATCTTAAAATTGACAACAGTTTCTATCTTTGTTCTCTGGAAACTGCAGCTTGAATTTTTAACATCATTGCAGGAGTTTCTTCCCTAATGATGCAATATTAAGCAACCACAGGGCATAATTGAAAGTGTATTGCATGAGTCAATGACAGCTGTTTTCTTTATTTTATCAATCCATTTATCACCATTTACTGCTGGGTTCTGAATTCCATGCATTCTGACAAACAACCTGCTTCTTCAGTATTTATGTTATTCTAAAAAAATTCCTAGAGATACCTACCAATTGGACAACTATTAAAATGTTTTAATAGGCAAAAAATTCTTATTCTAAAATAAGGATGTTGTAGACAGCTACGTAATCAATTCACCTTTTTATCTGGTGTTATTCATTAATGCTGACTGCAGTAGTGATGAATTGGATAACTATTTCTCAAAACATTCATAATCTATTGTTACTTTAAAATCAACATGTAAACAAGACATTCCATGTTTACAACTGATGGTATTACTAGTATGAAAGAGAAAATATTTTTCTTTGGGAGAAGCAATTTCCTTTCTGTCATTTAGGATTGTTGCAAGAGAAGACAAGATTACCTTCGGTTGCCAAGCAAGTATCCAAGAAGTCCTCCGGCACCTAATCCAGTCCAGAAACCTGGACCTGAATTGGAATCATAGCTGGACCCACTAGCAGCTCCTTAATTTAAATAAAATTATATCGATTTAGATCAAATAATATTTGGGATCAAAGCTTTTATAATTTTATATATATATAGGCTACCTCAGCAGATAATTGAAGAGTCTTACAAGCTCTCCAAAGTTTTAAATCAAACATTGCTGTATAATGCTATAGAACTATTGATTTTACTGGAGAAACAGACTATGGGCTATCACTTTTTATCCCCTTATTTTCTAAAAGTTATATTTCCTAGAGTTTAGACTAAAGAACCAACTCAGAAACACAAGGAGTTCTCATTTTAATTGTGCCTGAAATTTCTGCCAACTATATAAACAAGAGCATAGGCTAGACATGTTACAAAATTCTGTCGATAATTCAGTGACCCTATTAACAATGATAATTATCAATGAAAAAACTTCCTAGAATTTGAAAAGTAGATTACCTATCAATGTTACTAATAAATGTTTTTGTTGTGACATAAGATATTTACCTGTGTAATTTGATTTAAATCCTGGCTGAGGTGGGCTTTGATAACTTTGCCCATAGGATCCTGAATATACATCATCATTAGGGACATTATGTTGTCGGTTATCACAGAGGAATAGCTTGTAGATGCCAAAAACAAAAGCAACAAATAATATTACCAGGATCACTCCAAATCCGGAACCAAATGACTCATGAGAAGTTGGAGAATAATAGGTCCCAGAAAAAGTGTTAGATTTTTGCTGTCCTTTCTTAGTTAACTCTAACGTGTATTCCAAGCCACATGATCCTTTTAAAATGAAAGGGTCATTTGGGTAATCGTAGCCTTCACAGCTTACTTCAATTTTTCCAAAGCGATATGAAACATCCAAATGTGCTTTACATTCCCACTGAAAATAAAAGATAATTATTTTTCTATAATAAAATATATAACAAAATTGAACATTAACTTAAAATTGATATGTTTTTAGTAATTTTATTAAAATACATTTTTCCAAAAAGTTCTAATTAAACTCATAAGTAAGCTTTACAACTCTAATAGGGCTTGAAAGAATACACATGAAAATGCCAGACAAGAACGCTAAATGACAAACTTGTTAAAGTTGTTTAGAAGGAATATGGATTTACTTTAATTTTTTTCTCCTGTTGGCAATGTTGCAGCCCCATTTTTAATTTTTAACTCATTGCATCCTCCTGGAGTTTGAGAGTTTTGCCTTGATATGTATAATTGTTCTTCAGTCTTCAAAAGCCAGCCATTTAATTAATTTTACATTTATGCAAATACACCACAAGATAACACATTTTCCTTCATACAAAGAAGCATACCTGCACATCATAGCCATCCCAACCTTTGTTGTAACACTGAACAACATCAGGGGTATATGCCGTACATCCAGCTGAGCCTCCGGTACATTGCAATTGGGGCACTGGAGATGTCCTCCTATAATTGGTGTACTTTGCCTGGTAGAGTGTCAGGGCTTGGACTTCGCGCAATAGGACTCTCTCTGACAGAATATAAATATGTGATAGATTTAGAAACACTATGCAAGACAATAAATACATATATTAGGATTTTGTGACTTTATTAATGCCAATAAAGAAATTCTCAGAATAATTCCTGTTAGGTTGTATATTTTGAATACATAGAATTAGTAATTTCAAAAGTGCTTTAATAAAGAATATATCTAAGATTAAAGTTAACATCTATGCTCTCTAATTAATTTTGCTTTAGTTGTTCACCAATTATCCCATTTTATCAAGTGGTCAACCACAGGTTTTCAGAACTTCACAAGCAATACATAGGTACCTCCCCCTGTTTCTTTCCTATATAATATTCAAGAATTTGTGAACGAAGGCCTCCAATTTGCTCTCCAATGTCCTATGCAATTACGTACTTATGAAAACATCCCCAATAGTGACTGGATTCCCACAAATCATTGTTTCTTTCAAATCCATCTTGCAGGATGAACCACAAGAACAATATTGGCGAAACCTTAAATCTCTTTTTACACATCCCAGTGACCATATTTACACATTGCACTGGGTCAAGCTCACACCATTCACACATTATAACCTGTGATAAATCAATTGATTCTGGGGAGCGCACAACAGAGTACAAGTAAAAATAAAAAGGCAGGCATGAGTGAATCAACATCCCCTGTAATGTGAAACATTTAATACTGTTAAAACATGTTTCAGTGTGTGGGTCTGTGTGGGTATTTACGGATGAACGGGTCATCTAAACCCAACCAGTGTCGTCGAAGAAACCTTTGGTTACGACTGACAATTGTTACAAATGACTTCTAAAATGTCTCCCTAATAAGGCCGACGCCCGTCATTACATCGCACTTTCACTATAAAAACCTGCGCAGGAAATGTCCTTCACTATCCCAGAAAAGATGCTCTAAACCAGGGACAGCAGCGACCGTCGTGAACCGAGAGGCTGGCTTCCTAAAGAGGATCGCCCGGTGAGCCCGTTCCTCGCCTTACCCGGCTGCTCCCAGCCCGTCGCTAAAGATGTTGCCGTCAGCACCACCAACAGCGGCAAAAGCAGTCGTCCCAGAGACGCCTCCATTTTAGCCCTTTGATTGAGAAACGAAGCGGCTGCGCTCCAGCCTTTTCCGCCTATGGCAACGGGTCTCGAGGCCCCGCCTCTCGCCGACAATGATTGGCTCTTCGGATTGTCTTTCTAAGGCAAGCGACCGTTTCGTCAGCTGACTATGAGGCCCGGCGGCGCCATCTCCAGAGAAGCGGGGTTCGGTCCGCGCTAGGCTTACTACTGAGCGGAAGGAAATCTTCTGAGGACAATGGAATGGTAGTAAAGCCTCGCTCTCACCCAGCCATCCTATTGGCTCACGGGCGCCGCCCAGGAAAGTCAGCATAACAACAAAATCTATCTACGCTCAGAACAACCAATGGAGTTCTTAATGGATGTTTAGCTTTGATTTGTCCTCTTCCAGTGAATTGCAGAATGACTTCAAAGAGTATCGTACATCGCTCAGAGTGACTTCTGATGCGATGGGCGTTTGCATAAATAAACAAATAAATCTGTGTTGCGCTTCTGAAAACAAACTCGTTTTTTCTCAGAGTATCTAGGTTGTTCTCTGAACACAAACAAGAAAAATTTGCAACTTCTTAAATTACCAAATGCTTCGTGTCAGAAAAATTAGCCACAACCAGAGTCAAGAGTAAGATTTCTAGAAATGTTGGGATGTTAAGATTGCTAAATACCTAGGAAAAATGGGTCTTATACATTTTTAACAGCTGCTCCATTAGTTTGTTGAATGAACAGTGGGAAGTTATCATCCAGCCCTCTCCCAGAAAAATGAAATATCCTAGGAAATATTGAAAAGGCAGAATATTTCTCTGGATGTGAAAAGAAA